ATGGGAGCTGGCTCTAAGCTCTTCTTCTACAGCTGCTTTTTGTATCTCTGCTTCTGTCTCCTTGAACCCCAGTCGGCCTCAGCAGATGGCCGCTCACACTGAGCCTGGTTCTGCTGGAGGTTTCTTCCTGTTGAAAGGGAGTTTTTCCTCTCCACTGTCACTATGAGCATGCTTGCTTTAAGGGATTGCCTTGAAGTCAATGAGTCGATGCAATCATCTGGTTTTCCTTAGATAGAAAACTTTGAATCAATCTGACTGTAAAGTGCCTTGAGGTGACATGTGTTGTGACTTGGCCCTTTATAGATAAACCTAATTGAATTGCTTTGCAGAATAGAAATTTAGTAAATTTAGTAAAATTTAGTTTTTTACACTCTATTTCTGTTTTTGACCAAACTTAAAACTTAGGGCTTTTCTCACAAACGCTAAATATAAATCTATATTTAAGTATGATATCTATATTAATTTCTTAAATTTATTTCTACATCTTATATCTATATATTAAATATTATACTTATTTAGACATTTTAATTTTAGATCTAAATCCATAGCTTATATATAAACATTACATATCATAAATATACCTTTAATATTTAAGTAAAATTCTCAGATTTAAAAGTTTAGAAGACGATAAACCGCGTTTCTCTTAGGGCAGAGGAACCAATGAGAAGAGGAGCCAGGATTTGGATGACTCCGCCCACCTTTCCCTCTCATTCCTGGGGGCGTGGCCACTAATTAAACTGCCCTGCTGTTGCTTTGTCTGCGTTCCAGATAAGTAGGAGTTGAACAGATTCGGAGTGTAGTTACCTGACTGATATCATTCAAACTCTTCTTCTACTCGGGAGTAGGACGGCCGTTCCTCCTGAAACGGCGCCTTGAAGTGATCACACTTTAATTTCAGTTCTTCTCATAGAAAACAACTTTTAAAGTTGTTGTTAGCATGATTAAATCTAAGCTTTGCAGAGAATTGGTAAAGTTTTACAGCGCTGGGCTGCTGTTTTCATCAAGATCAAAGGAAATGAAGACAATCCAAGAAAACCATTTCCTGCTGGTTGTTATACCTCAGTGGACGTGTCTCCATGTGAGCGTCTATCTGATCGGGTGTCATCATTTCACACACGCATCACATCACAATCCCTGCCTGACATGCCCTGCTGCTCTTACAGGGTTATAGAAGTGTCCTTATCAGCCTGGCTCTTCAGGAGATTACCTATATCGATTATCATCTATATGAGCTATTATATCTATTTAGGTTGCTCCATATCTTCTTATTCTCTTCCTCTAATCTTGTGACTTACGCAATGAAGACGATTACATTTATTCTCAGAAAGGAGATCTGTGCTTCAACTAATTAAACTTCTGAGGGAGCAAAATATTGGAATTGATACCTTTATAGCGATTAATTATGGGTAGGAGAAATCACACGACTTATGGAGAACCAATTTTTTTTTCGGGTTGTTTGAGCCTTTTCATGAATGATAGAGATGAATCATATTAGAATAAAATATAAATGTTGAAGCTGAAGCTGTGGAAGCATTCAGATTTCACTGATTGGTTGTTAGATGTGTGCGTACACTGCACTACTACTGATGACGGCGATAGCAATGCTGATTTTAGGCTGTTAGTGGATGCATATACCAGGCCTAGTGGTTAGGGGCATTGTGCTTTGAATCCAGTTCTGAGTTGAAGCCCCACTCCCACAGACTGTCACTCTGGATCCCCGAGCAAAGACCCTTCACCCCACACTGCTCTCCAGGCGATGCACAATGGCCGCCCACTGCTCCTCAAAGGGATGCGTTAAATGCAGAGAGTTCATTTCGTTGCTCTGTACTTGTTACAGCGTAATGAAAATAAAAAAGCTGCTTAGCTTCTTGTTTTATTTGGTAATAGAAGCTGTCNTCAGATGAAGCTTAATCTGTTCTCTGCTGATCGCTCCAGCTGTTAAATTTCAAGGTTAAAAAAGTAACTTCAAGTTGTATATTCAGTATGTTTGTTTTATGTTTTTCAAAGTCATAATAGGTAACTGGGCAGCTTTAAGTAGAACTTTGAACAGATCAATTCAAAGACATCATTATGTTGTTTAAGAAGCTAAACTTTATGCAAATACAGCATGCCATATTTCCCTGATGTTTATGTCTCATATAAGTACCTCTTATTTTTCTTTTAAAAATTTAAAGGAAGTCTCATATTTATTTTGTATTTTCTTCTGAGGTTGTTTTTATATATATGAATTTGTTCTGTAAGGCGGCTTTTTTAGGATTTTTTTTAGTTTGATATGCAATTTTTTTTTTGTTTTATATTCATTTTTCATATTTTCTTTTGAAAAGATATATATATTTTTTTATTTATTTAAAATTTTGGTTCTCAAGAGGGAGTTAAAACCAATCCACTGGACTTTGTTTCCAAGTCTGAAGACTTTTCGCTTCCAACCCAGGGAACCCCAACCCCTTCACAGGGGAAAGTAGGACCTCACCTATTCAGCCAGGTCAACAATTCACTTTAACAACCCCCCTTTCAGAGACATAGACAGGTATGGGGTATTGCAGGCTAACAGAAAAAGCAAAACAACCCCCATTTCAAAGGGGTGGACCCTTCGTCCGTTTAAATTTACATGTTTTCTAAGCAAAAACAAGGCTTTGTTGGGCTACTGTATAAAACCTCGAACTCAGCGCTATTTCTGACATTTTTAATTGAAAAAACTTCCAGGATGGGAAGAGAAACATCTTTAAACTTGAAAACCAAGTCCAGTGGATTGTTTTTAACTTTTTTTGGAATCGCTATGACCTGGATGACTGAGAATCTTCACCAGCATTATCTTAAGAGGGAGTTTTTATGAACTGAATTCTTTTTATTTGAGTTCTACAGATTACGTTCTCTTCCCTTCAAGTCCAATAACTTTCACTCTCGACCAGTAAAAGTGTCACTAATATCCAGCAAACCAATAGAAATGCTTCTTTACTCCGCCCTCTGGGGTAAAAGCCTGCCCCCAGAAGGGATGAGAATGTAAATATAAATTTGAAAAGAATGCTACTCATAAAACTCAATTTGAAAAATGTAAATTTCAGAAAACAAAAGTAAAAAAATAAAAAATTGAAAATATTATATCTGTAAAGAAATTAATTAAATAATAAAATATTTGCAAAGAAAACATGAAAATTACTTTGGAAAAATAAAATTATAAAAATAAAAAACCTTAATCTTCTTCTGTTTTTCTGCTCTATTTACATTGCAGTGTCCATATAAACTGTAAAACTCCCTGCATAATTATAATAAAGCAATTTATATGCATGAAACAAGTGGAGCAATATGGCAATTGCCATACTGCTACACTTGTGAAAGTAAAATCTGTTGCTCTCAAAACTTTTTTGTACTAAAACATTTTTCAAAGTTTTATTTCTGGATAGCACATTTCCATTTTAATGGAACTCCCCTATTAGTCCAAGGGTTTCTATTTGAAGGCTGTTGACTTATTTTTCCTGGACTTTTGCAGATTGCATTGTGAGTGCCTACAGAGGGGTGTGACCCATAAAATCAAACAAAAGCACAAACAAAAACACCCCCCTGGGAATCCATCGAAAGCCTTCTAAATATCTCTGAAATGATGAACTGATACGTCAAACAGCCTTCTATTAAGAGTGAAAGTACTCAGTGGTTGAACAGAAATGGCACCGGCACTCACACATGTCTTTGTCCTTGATGATGCCGCAGAAGTACTGCGGGTTCTCCACAAAACTTGATAAACCGGAGTCTTCATCTGAGGAAGGCGGGCTGGTTCCAAACTTCATGAAACGAAGTGAGACGGCCAGGTCATCCTCGGTACCCAGAACTGATGAGCCTAATGAAACACAAGAGACAAGCATGGCTGAGGGATACATGACACCTAATCAGTCCCCAACCTCCTTTGATTGCGGTAGCCCACAAAAGAAGCAATTCTGGACCAATTTTTTTTTCCCTCCTACGGTACAAACATACTCCACTACCAGCTTGGCGGCCCAATTGTTGGTACCATGGTGACAGATTATGACAAGCTCTAATAATCACCATCATCAACCATGCAGCAATCAGGCCACATTGAACCGGGGGAAAAATGACCATACAGGAAGCCTGGATGGTTAGCAACACCTGACTATGGCAAGTATTAAAAGCCAAACAAGTGGGGCCCAAATTGTAAAATCCACTCAGCAAGGCAAACCGCAGAACCCCCAGAGTCCAAAACAGAAGAAAATGGAACAACAACGAGGGAGCCCAGAGGAGATGGAGGGAAGGAAAGAGGGAGCACGGTCCACTTAGGCAATCAGGCACACTTAGGAGCTCTGAGTGAAAAGAGAAAAGGGTGGGGTGTCCACACGGAGCTGGCTTTTCCTGCAGCCATCCATCCATCAATCCATCCATCCATCCATCGTTTTTAATGGCTCTCACCACGTGGCGGTGGGCAGCGGAGGTCTACGTTGTAATTAAGGCACTTTACCCAACAAACAAACAGCAGCTGCCTGTGTGCAAAGTGACATCACACTGCAAAGCTGTATTAGTCCATTAAAGTCCCGAAAAGACACAACCAGCTGTAATTCCAAACAACTGTTTCTAGAAACTCTCATAGGTTGAGATGAAATACTTTTATTTCTCCCTTTAAACTTTGAAGCATAGATCCAAGCATCAGTTCAATGGAAGCTGAATTAGAAACACTTTTTTTTTTTTTTTTCAATTATCCTGATGGCTTAAATAACAAAAAAAGAATCTAACGCGCAAATTCAGGCAAATTATTTTCAGTATTTTAAAATTAATCAACAACTTTGTTTAAACGTATCTGAAATAGTGGAGGAGGCTTTTTGGTTTTGATCTCCTATATTTTTCGTTTCTGTAAAACACTTTCTTTTTTTCTACTAGAATTCTTTGAAAATACAGATTGATTGATTGTTGAACAGAAAATTGATATTAATACAATAGTAGTTGTGCATCGTGTGGAGAAATAATCTGAAACCAGCTTCCACTTTGCAGCCAAAGCTACTGTCCCTATTTGTTAAGATGACAACGATTCATTGAGACATGAAACTTTCAGGTTTATTGGATAAAGAATATCTAAATTATATTCCTTCAGTTTAAAATAGGGATGATAAAGGAATAGATTTTCCAATTCTAAATCAACTACTTCCTAAAGAACGATGAATATAACCAAAATTTAATTTAAAAAACTTAACATTTTCCATATTAAAGGGTAGAGCACATCGGTTGCATACAACTAATTAATCCGATTTTCTTCCATGTCACACTGACTGCGTATAGAGAGGCTCCACATAGGCAGGGTGGGCAGATTTGCTCAGATTTTATTTCACTACCATCTCTGTGCTACACAAATGTAAACAATTTCCCTCATTTGAGCTGGTTAGATTATGAAAAGTAATTAAAAATAAAGATCAGCGGCGCAGCTAAAAAGCCCCACTTAATGAGTCTGTGCAGCATTTCAAACCAGAACAGACAAAGAATGTTCATATATTAAAAAAATTATGAGATTTACGTCTAAAGAAAAGAAAAACACAGCAATAAACGAGGCAGAGAGGTGATTCTCAGAGAGATCTGGGAAGTTTATCCAAGTTTTTCTTTTTTCTTTTTTCATAAAGCGGTGAGACAGATAGGCTGCACTTACCTGCTCTGTCTGCCCCTGTTATTTTGTTTTTTGTGAGGCTCAAGGAGGATCAGTTTCTCACTATATCCATTTTTTTCTCCTTTTGAAGTAATTTTTTTTCTCCAGAAGATTAATAAACTGCACTTTCTATCCCTCTTTTTTTTTTTTTTTTGTGAGACTCAAAGAGAATCACTACTTTATCATTCCGTAAAAGTAAAAAAAAAAATAAAAATCCACTGGACTTGGTTTCCAGGCCTTGTATTGCTTGGAAACATGCAAATAGAAAGGTCTTGTCTATATAAAGACTCAAACTCACTTCGGATCCAGACATTTAAATTGAAAAAGCTTCCTGGAGAAACGTCTTCAAATCTTGGAAACCAAGTCCAGTGGATTTTTTTGAACTTTTACGGAACGACTATGACCTGGATGACTGAGAATCTTCATCAGCACACTACTTTATCCTTTTTCTGTCCTCCTGAACTCCTATCATGAATAAAGTTTTCCTTTTTTAATATTTCATTCATTATTTCTACACAAGTCTGTCCTACTTACTATATAGGCGATGTGCGACTCCAAAACTGACTCTTTCTTTAACAGTGTCCTGTCTGGCGATGTGGCAATAAGAATAATTGTCTTGATCCCAAACAAAGCCCAACAGATTTTACTTTCACAAGTGGAGCAGTACGGCTATCGCCATAGTGTTCCGCTTGATTTATGCATATAAATAGCTTTATTATAATTCATGCAGGGAGTATCACAGATTTTATGGACACTGCAATGTAATTTTTTATTTTATTAAGATTTTATTTCTTATTTTCATCCAATGCGAATGTGTTTTACTTTGTAACTGTGTCTCTCTTCCTGTCAGACCCATGAAATTGCTGCGGCGTCCGACTAAAATAGTCCTGGCCTCTATCTCAGTTGGAGCTACGCAAAATAGTTTTGGTCGTTTTCTTCCCCATTGCCTTTCAATCAGCGCTAAACACGACCTCGCCTGACAGGTTTTCTGTCGTATCAC